ATCATCGCCAAAAGCGTCTCCGAAGTGGTCACACGTTTTCGCATTTGATCGATTGTCAGCAAACGCGGCACCCATCGCGCGGATATGTTTTTCATGTCCAAATGATGGTGAATGATGTTGTGTACGCATTCGTAGGAAATGTTTAGGACCTCTATTAACTCGCGGAGCTTAATTCAACGATCTGCCATAATCATGTCATGGACTTTGTTGATCATGTCCGGCGTGGTAACTTCATTTGGCCTCCCGAGACGCTCATCATCCAAAACAACGTACGTACCACCACAAACAAATTCAGCTTTCCAAAATTTTACTGTTGCTAACGAAAGTGCATTATATTTAATATTCGTATATTTAATACTCGTATATTTAATTTGTATTAGCAACAGCTCTGTATATAAGTTTCATTGCTCTCTACTCTATCTTGATCCTGTATCTGTCCATCTGCGATACAGATTACCAAATTGTTTTATTGTTGTTTAGTGGAAAACTCCCTCGTTTACATGTATGTATTTGCTTCTCCACATTTTTATGGCTTATTCCAGATACATTTTGAAAAACGTTACGATATGCAACAACCCAGTCCATGGTGATTTGATGCTTCGTGATAATTTGTTACCTCCGAATTTCTACTCAGGGCTTTCGTTTTTCAATCTCTTGCACAAATTTTATTATTTCTCACTAATATATTCTTATCTTGTTATTATTATTTTGTTGTTTCTATACCTGTATATTTGCTATTCCAGAGATGCAGAGACGTCAACTGCGACGTATACGCATATCTGGTTGATTACGAGAAAGCGTTTGATCGAGTACAGCACGCCTAGATGATGCAAGTACTAAAAGAAGCAGGAATTAACAACCAAGATCTGAAAATAATTCGAAATCTTTATTGGAATCAGACAGCAAATCTCAGAGTTGAAGGTGAACACACTGACTGTGTGAAAATCATGCGTGGAGTGAGGCAAGGCTGTATTTTGTCCCCTCTAATCTTCAATCTGTTCTCTGAAAGAGTATTTATCGAAGCTTTGCATGAAACTGAAAAAGGTATTCTACTAAATGGTTACCAGCTAAACAATATCAGATATGTAGATGACACTATAGTATTTGCGGACAACTTAGAAGCCTACAAGTTCTTATGAACAAAATCACGTATTACAGTCAACAATATGGACTCAATATAAATGTTAAGAAGACAAAACTTTTGATAATTAGCAAGAAAGGATAACAGAAGGTCAACTCTATGTCAACCAATCCCCTGTAGAAAGGGTTACGCACTACAACTATCTCAGGAGATTAGAGCATGCATCGGAAAAGCTAGATCCACTTTCAATCGGATGGGGGTCTTCTTCAAGAGTGACAACCTCTCTCTTAATACTGTTATATTTTTATTATATTTCTAATTTATTGTCTTTAATCTAATTCATTGTCTGTATTAAAATTTATTAAAACTCACGATAATTTATTATCGATTTATTAAATAAAAACTGTACAATTATTTTATTACGTTTCGTACATCTAAAACCGCGTTTCGAGATTTTCTTCTCTAATTTATCTTCTTACTAACTGACTGTCCGCTCAATAACATGTATTTATATATAAAATGCCGTTATCTTGAAAAGTCTGGAGATGCACCGATGACTCATGCAGCAGGTCTCGAAAAGTCAATCGCATTCTGGTAAATTCGGAGGGTCACCGCCGACGGCATTCTAGACCCCATTGACCTGAATCGCCTTGAAGGTTCGATTTGTTGTTTTCATAGCTTCCGTCTCAGGTAGATTTGACCTAGAAATTACGAGAATGAATAAACATATTTACGGTTTTTAATATGACTCATATAATCTTTTACGTAACAATACGAAAGTAAGAATGCTGCGGTGCTACGTCTTCTCGGTCCTTTTTTATGGTGTTGAATCGTGGACCTTGAACGAAGATATGTGCAGAAAACTGGAAGCATTTGAGATGTGGCTATATCGGAGAAACTTAAGATCCGTGGACTGACGGAGTCAGTCCACGGAAAGTTAAAATTTTTCGGACATATTACGCGAAGTAATCCAGATATGCTTTCCTTCAAGCCATCCTGCAAGGAAAAATATTTGCAAATCGAGGTCCAGGAAGAAGAAGAACATCTTGGTTAAAGAACCTCAGAATCTGGTTCATTGTAACATCTGTGCAGCTTTTCTGCGCTGCTGCAGATAAAATAAAGATTGCCATGATGCTCGCCAACATTCGTAACGAAATTAAGAAGAATACCTGTATTATTATAGGAGATACTCGACTGATTTTCAGATTTAAACGCTTCTCCTTTCACATCTTCTTCATATTTTGCTTAACAATCCTTTGTGGATATTGGGTTGCTCGCAGATAAGTCTTCTAGATAGATTAATAGCCTTGCCTTCCTTTTCTGACCCTTAAAATCTCAAGGTATTTATCGACATCATCAATCCATATAACTCAAAGCAAATCTTTCGAAGTATTTTTACTCGAAGATACCAAGTAGTCTCTCGTCGTTTTGAGATAAAGTCCATGTTTCTGCCGCATATATCAAAAACAGGTCTTATAAATGTTGTGCTAATGCACGTCTAAGTTTTTATTTTCAGGTGTTTCTGAAGATCATGGAAAGAGATCTGTTTGCTATTACCAAGTGTCTTTTTACTTCGTTGCTTGTCGTGTCGAGTTTACAAGCGATCCAAAATATGTACATTCTTTGACTTGCTTAAAGGTATATTTAATTTGGATTCTCTATTGAACATTTTAAGGGTTTTTAGCATCCAACATATATTTGGTTTTTACTTTATTTACAACACCCAGTTCACTTGCTACGTTCGCAAAACAAAAAACTTTTTAAAACACTGCACTGTCTCTGTCTGACTGCCTTTTCCAAGCCAAGAGGAGACATTCCAGAGCATCTTCCTGTCTTAGACCATGACTAATAGTCTACAACAAGAAAAACATCTTGGTAAAAGTAAGAAATTTAAATTATAACGATTGACATATACGCGCAATGACTTTGTTTACCTCGTGTGTAATCAGTCTTTGGTCTGCAGTGTTGATTGAGACATCAAAAGTGTTTCTATCCTGATTTGGCATGTGCTTCGCGTTTGTTAATTAACAATAATATTACCCATCTATCTTTGAAGTGTTTTCTTTCGCGGCATAACCTTTTGTGTTCGTGTTCACCTATCTACATACAGAACTGTATGAAATTCTAAAATTACGAAAATATTATTAAGTAAGTGATTTACTTACTTGTGGTTTCTGTTTGCAAAAATTTTATCTACAGATATGAAATATCTATGTTCAATATCCTACTACCAAACATGAAACATAAAAACATAGTTTGGAAGTTATATTTCTCTGCATTGTCCATACAAACCAATCATTGTCATCTTTAACAGTAGACACAGTTTTATAGCCAAGTTTATTTAAATCATTAATGACTTCCAGGGGATGTTCTGATAGATTCATCTGAACTCTTGGATTAGGTACACCATATGTACTATAGAAAATTGATTCAGCAAAACTTTTTTATCTTGCTCTTTGATGCATACAACACAACTATATGCCTTGTTCTTATAAATTTCATCTATATTTCCTTTAAAAATTGCAAATTCATAAGTTCTAGTAACGTCTACGTCAGTATTGCCGGAGTTTCAATATTTGATTAGACTAAAATATTTTTCAAACATAAAAATAATAGAAAGGTAGTGTTAGAATAGTTGTGGGTTTATTTTGCAATCCTTTCTCATCTGTCTATATAAAAGGCTAGGAGGACAACTCACACTGTTTGTCCGGTAGGGTATGATGCATCATTGGAATGAAGAGGAGGTAGCGATAGTGTTGAAATAGAGAACACACATGGCGGCATTTCCAAAAGGACATTACATCATATATCCGCTGTTATTAGTTCGATTGGAGCTTGTGATGCGTTAAAAAACATGGTGAGGATATAGCAAATATATGAAGATAGAAAAAACAAAGAAGGTGACTACCAAAACGGCACTACACAGTGACTTCATTATTAATTAACGTATGGTTACATACGATATATCATAAGTCACTATAAATGAAAATAGATTTATTACGAGACAAATTTTGATTTAGTGACTTAAAGAAGGCCTCTAACTGAGTACAAAATAAACAACTAGCCGAATCCTAGCATATGACACATCAAATCAAACGACGTAAGACGTATAGTACATATATAGCGTTTATTTACTTGGTTTACATTTTTACGCGCAAGAGGTTTATTATTCTAAAAATTTAATGAATGGGGATTCTCCGGCCAAAATCACTAGTTATTATATAATATACTACTTAAATGCATTGACTATTGTGCACCTCAGTAAGATTTACAAAATATAGTAAAAACACTGTTTCTTAAACCCATTAAATTATACTTACATTTAAGATTTCATTTCATCATCATTGTGGCTCTACAGCTACTGTGGCTTGGCTGCTTTACGGCGTTCTTCCATTCGTCCCTATCCAAACTTCTTCATCCTCTAATGTCAACTGTTCTGAGATTCTCTTCCAAGTATTCGAGATATCTTAGTCTAGGTCTTCTTCAAGTTCTACTTACTACTAGTTTTTGAAACAGATATTATGGTAGGATTTCCAGGGTTCATTCTTACCATATGCCGTTTATCTTTACTTTTTTTAACATATGTAGGTCTTCATAAAATCAGCTTAGTTCAAAATTATATCTTTAAGAGGTCTAACTATCTGATGAGAGCAAAAATGAGCTCTACCCGATTTCTACCATACCCAAGCTTTTTCTTTACCTATGTAAGTATGAATTTTGTTGCATTTTTTCCAGTTTTTTTTTAATTATCGTTATCCTGATTCTTGTTTTGACCGCTTTGTTAAGGATCGTGTTACTACGTTTTCTATTGAAATATTTCAGGTACATTTCTCTTATCCTGGATTTCAGTTTCCATATTTGATTCCATTAACACTATCACATATTTTCTGAATGGTCTAAGTTATTAAAACACGAAATTAATGTCTAAATTTTTTAATAAATTTAGTGCACCAATACAATAATTATAAATGAATAAAACGATTTGAAAATAGTTTTATTAAATATCTAGGCCGTATTTTTGATCAGTTCCGGAAAGCTGCCTTATTCCCCCGATTGTCCGCCACTTCGCCAAGCGAGGGTGCCACATTCAACAGTCTTTTGCCAATATCAAAATGTTTGTTTTCGATCGCTCGATGCAAGGCTGTCTTACCATCAGAATCTTGAATGAAGGGATCTGCTTTTTTGGACAGTAAGAGGTTTACCACATCTTCTTTGCCTGGAATATAAAAACTATTATAACACATTAAGGGCAGTTAAACCTAATAAAAATAAAAATGCTTCCAAAAGGACAACATAATGCGGAAAAGTCAAATTAAAATTTGTGAATTATCATCATCCGTGTGGAGTTGTCTATCTCTCAGGCAAAACAAACTATAAAAGTAAATGTCGATAAAAAATCCTCGTCCTCCAAGTCTGAGGGTTTTAAAGAAGGGTTAGCGCCTCTTTTCAGTAAAAAATATCAACAATCTCTAGAAATAAGCTTTGGATCATAGATCAAATTTACGAACAACGGAAGCAGCAAAGAAAACGGATTATAAATGTTGGAACGTGGAATGTTCAAGGCATTAGAAACAAACAACAAAAAATATTATATATTCATTGTGACAATGCTTTAGATAAAGAAGTTCACTCAAAAAAAGGAGTTTCGATAAGAGTACACAAAAGTACACATTTTGGATTAAATGGATGTGAAATTATTCTGGTTGATGATTTGAACAATCAACTAAGCCAAGAAAAAGATAGGGAGGTGATTGGACGACACGGAGAACCCACAGACATAAATGCCCAAACCCTGGGTCAATAAAATCACAAAAAAAAACAAAAAACAATAAAATGGTAGAGCCAATAGTAACAGACAGACCAGAAGCATGGGGCGTAAGTAAAATAAATGCTACTGAGATGAACTTTATGAGAAGTTGTAGATTGACAAGGATGGATAAAATCCGCAACAATGAAGAGAAAAACAAAAAATTGTGCCAAACAAAGATATCGTAGAAGATATGCTACATACTATAACACTGTTACTCCCTTGTACAATGCCTCTCACAATCTTCACATAGTCGCCGGAAACTTACATCATATGCATTCTTAATATCAATGAATACCACATGAGCGTCTGTGTCTTCATTAGATACGGTAGAAAGATATGTAGATAGGTTGGTGAACACTTTGTATTGGATATTATAAATGAATGCTATGCTGGAACAAGGTTGTAACCGCCAATACTTTCATATGTGGGTTTTCCATGAAACAACTTTCTACATGTACATAATGTACTGCTGACTGTGAGTAATATTATGAGACTTAATTTGACTGTTTTGGTAGTGTAATGTTCAACTTTCGGTGTAATAACATTGTATGTGTTAAAGTGGGTCGTGTTTCGGGCCAAATTTTCTGCCCGTGTTTTGTAAGTCAACGTTTTCAATCGTGTAATTTGTCATTTCGAGCTAAAAATGGATATTAGTATAATCAAGTCAGTGATTATCCAAATTAACAGAGAAAAAACACGAAAGCATAACATTGTTAAGTGGAAGCAGAATATTAGAAAACGTCGCAGAGATGCTGGGGATTCGTACGTTTCGTCTAGAGATGTACCCAAAGTAGCTCTATGTTGTCCAGATGAAGTAAGTTAAAGTAATCTAAACTAGTTTCATGTTTTAAAACAATATTTTAGTGCGTATTTGTAAATGAAAGCAGTCGGCTACTGGTTGTTCAGCTGAGTATTAGTGTTCAGACAAAACTAATTATTTAACTATTCAAAACGTTTAGACAATTGGCAACCGATTTGATAAGTGGGACCCAGACGTAGAGATTATGATCCGAATTAAAATAGCAAGATCCAAATTCATCAAAATGAGAAAGCTCTTAAGCAACCGTAACCTAAGCGTTAACCTCCGATGGCGCGCCACGAAATGCTACGTACTCTCTACGCTACTTTACGGAGTAGAAGGGTGGACGTTAACAGCAGCAACTATAAAGAATTTAGCGGCTCTATAAATGTGACTGTATTGACGCATACTGAGAATACCTTGGACAGACAGAGTGACCAACACAGAGGTATTAAAACGAATGGGTAAAGAGGTGGAATTGTTAACAACTGTTAAAAGGAGGAAAGCGTCATACCTGGGACATGTATTCCGTAATGATAAGTACAGTCTGCTACAGCTTATCGTGGAAGGCAAGATTGAAGGTAGAAGTGGTTTGGGCAGAAAGAAGAAATCCTGGCTGAGAAACTTGAGAGAATGGTTTCAAATACCAGTAGATGCGAACATGCGGCACAAAACAGAGAAACCTATCGTTTGATGGTCGCCAACCTTCGGTATAAGACGGCACATAAAGAAGAAGAGAACTGAGTTACAATGGCCAATCAAAATTTTTATCTCAGTCTCGTTCGCTACAAGATCCAAAAAGAAGAAAGGTTGGGGAAGCAACATTTCGATGAATACGTGCCCCCTAATACACATACCATGAAAATGCCTAATCACTAGTTTTTAAAATTTACCTGCAGTTGCGGCTCGACATAATGCTGTAGCTCCTCCTTTCGTAACAGCATTAACATCTGCACCATTGTCCAACAAAAACAAACAAACTGCCAGATGCCCATTTCGTGCTGCATAGTGAAGAGCAGTATAACCCGCTGAATCTTTCTCATCTATACATCTTCTCTCGTTCGCTAGTTTCCTGACTCTATCTAGGTCACCATACTGAGCTGCATACCAAATACCTCTTTCAAAATCCATTTCGTCTAAAGATTGAGACGCCACTGGATGGGCGGAACACTTACAATTATGATCACACATTTTTTTGGGTTTTAGATATCAGTCTTTTTATAAGGTCCTGTGTATCTACTGTTGTAAATGTAAAACATATATAAATAATTAAAAATAGTGTTCGTCTAAAATGTACCTGAATGTTATTGTTTTGATTTTTGTTATAAATGGTCAAGGGTGTAGGTATACATTTTTCAAATATAAATAATATACAGATCACATTATTTTATTGACCAAACAACACAATGGCAATCGCTGTGACATGTTACACGTTTCCAACTCTATATTCATTTCACAGTAGGTACGAATTGTCGTAATTGTCACATTGTCATTAAAAATTTCAAACGAAGTTCTGAAAGAATGAACAAATAATTAATAAAATGCCTATTACGTTGTATAACGTCCAAGAAAAAGTGCAACTTATAACATGGTACTTTCAGGGTCATTCGATACGCGAAGTAATTGATTTATTTATTGTTGTTTTCGACAATGAACCCCCACCAAGTGTTACAACAGTTAAAAATACCATTAAACATTTTCAAACTTCGGGGTGTGTAAACAGTTGTAAAAAGTGTCATGAATGTAATGAACCACGTGTTAAACCTGTCGATGAGGAACGTCAAAACAGGGATATTGATATTTTTGCTTTTGTGGAAGCTAGTGAACTTTGCAATAGTGTACAAATTGCTAGGGAAGTTAACGTGGCTGCTCGAACTGTCCAGCGAGTTCTTAAAAAGAATGGGTATCACTGTTTTAAGATACAACCAACACAAGAACTGTTTCCGGAAGATAACTTTAGGGGAATGGAGTTTTGTGAATTTATGTTAGATAAACAGAATGAAAATATACACTTTTTAAAAAATATTTTTAGTGTTGCAGTGCAAACGCAGCATCCGCAAAAGTTAAATGTTTGGACTGGGATGTCAGGCGACCATATTGTCGGTCCATTTTTTATCGATGAAACCTAAACGGGCCCAAACTTTTACAGAATGAGCTTCCCGTTAAGTTTCAGGAGGTTTATTTCCAACAGGATGGGTGTTAGACTCACAACTCTAGAGAAACTATTGACGTCCTCAATCAAACGTTTCCTGATCGACTGATAAGTACCCGTGGTACAATTAAATGGCCAGTTAGATCCTGTGACTTAACGATTTCTTTTTTTGGGGTTTTCTCAAAGAAAACATTTATAGGCATCAGTTTAAAAGGGACATAAACCTGGTCGAATTAAGGGTAAAAATACTTAATTTCTCTGCAAGCATTACACTAGCCCTACTCCAAAATATGAGGAGAAACCTGTATGACAGATTTGGTTACTGTTTAACACAAAGAGGTGGAATATTTGAGCACTTAATTCATTAATCTGCTTTCCTAATTATTATTTTTTGTTAGGTACATTTGACGAAGTTTGTAGGTTCTTAATTAGGTAGTCATTTTTATGTTTAAGTTTGGAATAATTTTATTGTTTTTTTTTATTTAACAGTACAAACGATTCTTATTCTGATTTTTTTTCTTCTTTCTTGTCTTATTGTTATAAACTTTGTCCATAAAATTTGTACAATTTTCAGTGACAATAAACCATATTACTTATTTACTTACTTATTTATTTGTATTGCTATTAAGGCTAAAAATAACCAAAAAATTAGTTTTAGAGCATTTTAATAAATGTATTCTAGAGATGGAATTGCAATAAATCTTAATTCCTGTGGTCAACAAAACAATGCTGTTATCTGTATGTGATTTTGACAATTTTTTATCATATCTATTTTATTATAATCAAACATATTAAGGTGCTTACGATGTCAATTGGAACAGACTAATTTATGGGATATGACCAATAATACCACGGCCAGCACTAACATAGAGACAAATACAAAGTAACCTCTACTTCTCAAACCGTGCTGTTATACATTTGGCAACATTGTAGATAGTTCTATCTAACAGTAATTATTTGCAATTTTTGATATCTAGTAAGTATATCTCACATAAAGTAAATATTGATTGGTTATTGAAGATAACTCTGAATTTGTAAATAGGGATTCGTTGAATTACTGAGATACTGAAGTTAGTTTTTGTCATTTATTTACATTTAACCATAAGGGACGAATATTCAACAACATGAGATGCCCTTGTGTGCATATTCAATGTTACCAATACCCGGGTACACCGGTACTCAGCTCTCGTTTTTTCATCATTTATGCAATTGAAATAGTTTAACTTTTAAAGCAGTCAGTAGCGGATATACTGAGGGGATGAAGAAATCTCCTCCCTCCCCCAAGAAGGTTCAAATTTAAAGAAAACCTATTATTTATGACTTTTATATAGTTTGGATTTATTTTTTTATGTTCTTTTGGTTGGTGTTTCATTGGAAGTTTCCCCTTCCAAGGCAAATGTCTAGATCCGCCACTGAAATCAGTAAATAAACATAAAAAATGAGTCTCCAAAGCGTTTGTATAAATTATTTGGCCTGCTATAGCTCTTACAAAGGGTAGAAAACAAAGGATTTTCAAGGTCGGTCCAATTAGCGCACTGTTAGCAAGGAAGCCAGTTAGGCAGCTACTTGGAGTTTGCAGACACTTTGAAGAAAAATAAACCTTAGATTTCAAGTGTGATTTATTTATCCCTGAGGCTAAATATTTAAACTATTTAACTTGCTAAATGACGCTAAACACATTTAGTAAATTTCATAGGATTCTGTAAGACTTAAACTATCTCAGAAGTTAAATGGATATTGCGTTATCATCGAAATTATTTACAAAATAAAGAACTGCGGAAATCCTAACCGAGCTAGTAGCAGCAGCAGAACGAATGGGGTTACATATAAATCAAAATAAAACCAAATTCATGGCGACTAACACAAACATAAGAGCTGGAAATGTTGACGCAGATTTAATCATCAATGACCAAAACTTCGAAGCAGTCAAAGAGTTCATATATCTAACAACACATCTGAGGAAATAAAAAGGCGAATAATAATGGCAAATAGGCGTTATCATGGTCTATCAAAGTACTTGCTAACAAATGGATGTCTCAAAAAAACTCGTATAAGGCTGTATAAAACACTGATAGTCCCCGTTCTCACCTATGCATCCGAGGCATGGACGCTAACTAAAACAGATTAATCCGCTCTATCGATTTTTGAAAGAAAGGTGCTACGCAAGATATTCGGAGCGGTCTATGAGAACGGAATATGGAGGCGTAGATATAACTTTGAACTGCAGAATATCTAGAAGCATACGTTTGGTGGTAAAGATATTACCAACGCCTGCAGTGGGCAGGACATGTAGCCCGGGCCCCTAAATCGAACATAATAAAAAAGATTCAGAACAGCGCAACCCGTGTGAATGAGAAGACGGGGTAGGCCAAAGCTGAGGTGGATGGACGGGGTAACACAAGATGCCGAGAAGATCGGAGTCGGCAACTGGAAAATGCAAGCAAGAGACAGAACAGAATGGCGTAGAAAGCTTGAGCAGGTCGAGGCTCTCTAAGTTCTGTAGCACCAAGATGATGATAAACGTTTGAAAAAGGGGTATGTTTTTTACTTATAAACAATTGTAATAACTTCTATATTTTTCAACTACAGACTTGTACGTACAATCATTGTATAGCAGGTAAAAAATCTCACAATAAAAAAAATACTTTCTATGACCAATAGGAACGAAGTTAGGGACTATTTTTAAAAAAATCCTATCTCCATTGTTTTTAAAAATTAAGCAGTAAAATTTGTACAAATTTTGAATCAACATCTGAACTTTATATTGAAACTTTATTAAATTATATTTATAGCTATAAAATTCATCCAATTTTTCCAAACTTACAGCACTTCGAAACGAAGGTACTTTCGAAAGATCGACATAGGAAAGTGGAGGGGATAACTATGTCAGCTCCGTCTTTTTTTTTTCGAGATCGGAAACACGTAGGAAAAATTTACATTATCTCGGCTTCCATTGCAGCTAGAAGTCTCTTTCTTTTATCTGGGGTAGCTCGTGGAAATATAAATAACTATATAGTTTTCACTGGCCGGGAAATATGGGAAACCTCGGACCTCGGAAAAATTAAATCCATTTGAAATTCACCGTAAAAACTTACTTTTTTAATTTGGCTGGAATAGTCTGTCGCAGTATTATACCCCCCGCCCCCGGAAATCTCGAAAAATCAAGATATATTTTTTTACATATTGTGATCATAAATTATTGTTTAAAAAAACGCAAGGTAAAAATATTCGTCATCTAGTAACCCCCTCCTATGCCTTAAAAGCTTCAGATATCTGCAAAAAAATTTTCGACCTTTTTCTTTAACCAGACTGTTTATTGTATTAAATAAAGCCACTTTATTTGCAGCTAATATAAGACATAAATATTATATATATATATAGATATAAATATTAATAGTGCTGGCACCTTCGCTGATTTATACCACTAGGGGTCGCTCTTCGGAACTTGCACAAAGCGAATAGTCTGATAATATGAACTCAGGCTTATCCATTCTACAATTTTAGGGGGTTATTAAAATCCAGGATGACAAAGAAAAAGGTTAGAATTTTTTCTTTTGTGTGCCTTTTTTTCTAGGACTTAATAAAAAGATAATTAAAAGGTAGATACAAGTATAAACGACAACTTAAATTCGGAATGCACGAATGGTGTGATACTGTTTGATTTGATAATGTGAATATTTCGACGAAGGCGATAGACAGTTTACCAAAACGTCAACTTTTGTTATTTATAAGACTATTTGAACGCCTCATTAAAATAAATAATCTACTACAATTTAACAGATTGTAACTATTCCGAAAATTGTGATACTTAATAAAAGTTCCGAATAGTGTAACTTTTTATCACAAATGTCAGTAAATAAATCTATGTATAAGTTACAAACGAATCTTGTCGGATGTTAAATTATAAAAACAACTTTTATTATTAACAACGATGCCAAAAATCGGTCGATTTGAAGCTTGTCCAACTGATATCGCAAAAAATATCTTAAATGAAATATGTGCTTTTCAGGTACTAATTTCTAAGTTGTAAAAATGGAATTATAGAAACAAAAGAAGGCTATTTTTGAATTATACGATCTTTTGATTTTATTTTATTTTATTAAAGGAATATCCCCAGTTTTACAAAAATTTAACGAAAATAAAATATTCTAACCATAAAAAGAATAATAAAAATTAAATATTAAATTATAATTAAATAGTTATTAAATAATGTTATACAAATAATTTAGATACTATTTTATTGGGAATAAGCCACAATTGAAGGCTTAAAATAAGTTTATTGACGTTTCAATTTCCACTTCGGAAATTGTTCTCGAAATACAAACTGTGATAATGGATAAAATTCAATATGAAAATATTTCCGTAGCGTATAGCAACATAACACGGACAATAGAATGTCTTACTTACTTACTCCGTGGCGTTACAACCCTTCGTGGGTTTTAACCGACTCGACAACATGCCTCCACTGTTTTCTGTCTTGAGCAACCTCCATCCAATTCTCCACGCCCATAATGCTTAGGTCTCCTGCTATATTATCTCGCCACCGGAGACGAGGGCGGCCGCGTGGTCTCCTTCCAGTTGGGAATAGAATGTCTACTAGTAAATATATTTCAAATGAAGTCAAAATTAAATCAAATTTTCGGATTTTTTAGAACATATTTATTTGTAGATGCAATAACGAACTACACTTGAGTGCAAAACAATCGACTCAAAAGCGATATTTGAGATTACACCTTCTGTTTTAATGTAAGAAGTATGAAAATAACAATATGTAATGTGCAAACAGTAACTTTATTATTGAATTTACAAAAACTGCTATTTCATTATTTGGAAGACGCATTATAAAAACAATATGCAATACGAACAGAGTCTCTCAAATATTCATCATTGGAACCATCCCAAGAAAGGAGAAATCATTAATTACAAAATGAATTCTTTTGTTTTTCAGTATCCGATATTACCACCCCTATTCCTAATTACACTTTCCAATCGATTTTGCATGGTTCGGATGACTTTTCTAATAAATTCTTGAGGCATTGCTTCCCATTTATCATTAAGCGCAGCTCTCAATTCCATTATGCTCCTTGGTGCATGATTTCTGCTCCGGATCCTTCGTTTAAGCTTATACCAAACATGCTCTATTGGATTTATGTCCGGACTCAACGCAGGAAAATTTATTGTAGGTATACCGATCTCAGTCAGATAGGTGGTGGTGACTCGTGCATTACCAATAAAATCCCGCGTATGGAACCACATGTTCCTCCAAAATATCTCTGATGTAACGATCCGCCGTTAAACCTCTCCACGTCCTGCACCAGGCATGAAAACCAGCTCGGTTTTCCATCCATGGAAATGCCATGCCCAAAACATACAAGAACCGCCTCCATATGACACAATTTCTCGTATACAACATTGAGCAAATCGTTCTCCTGGCCTTCTATAGACTCGACGCCTCTTGTCGTTGCCATGTAGGCAGATCCTACTTTCGTCCGAGAATAATACCTGACTCCATTGATAGTCGTCCCAATCCAGATGTTCGCGAGCAAATTCTAGTCGTCTTTGCTTCTGGGCTGCAGTTAGCTTGGGACCAGTAGCTGCCCTTTTTGGTGTCAGGTTGGCTGCTTTCAGTCTCCTTCTGACTGTCTAAATGCTGGTAACCACACCTCGGACCTCTCTAAGCTCTTCTTTGAGATTAGCACCAGTCAAATGTCGATTTCTCAGAGATTTAGATATAAGAAATCGATCATCTCTCTGTTGATATTCGTTTACGACCTCCTCCTTGTCGGCGGACATAATCACCAGTATCTTGGTACCGACGATGCACTCGGGACACAGCAGATTGGCTTAAATTTAGTCGATTGGCCACGGCTCTCTGGCTCAGGTCATCTCTCAATAATTCTACTGCTTGAGCTGCTTTTACGGATGTGGTATCAATTTGTTATGAAGTTGCGAACTTAATTGACTGATGTATTAGGGAGTTGCTATGGAAATTGATGCTTACGATGTTAACCAAATGTGTTAAGTGGGTGCGTGTCGATTTCAATGAAGTAAAATCTCTCCATTGTAGTGGTATTTATAAATTGACCATAGCTCCGATGATGGCTTTGTAAAGCCGAAAGCGCTCAACTAGGAATTATTTAAAATATACACATTTCAAAAATACTTTTTTACCTTTTCTTTTGACTTGAACTTTTTTGTTTTTCAGTATCTGATATTACCACCCCTATCCCTAATAACACTTTCCAATCGATTTCGCATGGATCGAATGACTTTTCTAATAAATTCTTGAGGCATTGCTTCCCATTCATCATTAAGCGCAGCTCTCAATTCCATTATGCTCCTTGGTGCATGATTTCTGCTCCAGATCCTTCATTTAAGCTCATTCCAAACATGCTCTATTGAGTTTATGTCTGGACTCAACACGGGTCAAATTATTGTAGGTATACCGATCTCAGTCAGATAGGTGGTGGTGACTCGTGCGGTATGACATCGTGCATTATCATGCAATAAAATAAAGGCAATGTCAATAAATCCCGCGTATGGAACCACATGTTCCTCCAAAATATCTCTGATGTAACGATCCGCCGTTAAACCTCCTCCACGTCCTCCACCAGGCACGAAAACCAGATCGGTTTTTCCACCCATGGAAATGCCTGCCCAAAACATACAAGAACCGCCTCCATATGACACAATTTCTCGTATACAACATTGAGCAAATCATTCCCCTGGCCTTCTATAGACTCGACGCCTCTTGTCGTTGCTATGTAGGCAGATCCTACTTTCCTCCGAGAATAATACCTGACTCCATTAATAGTCGTCCCAATCCAGATGTTCGCGAGCAAATTCTAGTCGTCTTTGCTTCTGGGCTGCAGTTGCAGTTGCGAACTTAATTGACTGATGTATTAGTGGGTTGCTATGGAAATTGATGTTTACGATGTTAACCAAACCAAATGTGTTAAGTGGGCGCGTGTCGATTTCAATGGGTCAAATTATGACCCCCTCTGTACGTGTTTCATTATTTATTTGTAATACGTCACCCGATTTATCAAAAATCAAAACTTTTTTCAAACTCAATAATGAGGTTAATAATTGTACACTAAATATTTTTAAATTTACACCTTTTTTTATTAAATCAGGAAACGTACTTTCGCAAAATAATTTTGAGTCGATTTTTTTGCACTCATGTGTAGTATGACATAAAAGTTTGTATGCACCGCGGGTATTAATTAATAGATGTATATGCCCTCGGGTAACTTACCTACAAACCCTCGGGCCAGAAGCCCTCGGGTTTGTAACATCGTCGCCCTCTGGCCATTAACATCTATTTAATATCTTTGGTACATAAATAACTATGAAATCAGAAAGAAAACATCCTTCTTCTTCT